ATGCACTTGCAGAAGGAAGTCCATCCACATTGTGCCCCATAAACAGTGAAAATACATTGTAAGAACACAACTCTGTTCCACCCCACCCCTCGACACAGGGGAGTCAGCAAATGCTACTGTTCAATTAACATGGAAGGGACTCTTAAAACAATAATGTAATTAGACACGTTCATGAGAGATAATTGTGTCATGTAAAGATGAGCATTCCCGGAAGAGATTTAGCCTCTTTTAGAAAAGAACATTTTTTACGTTTTTCCTCTCAAATTAATTTCACAGTCAAGAAAGGTATGATGGTAAAATGTGGGGAAATTGCACCATTCTCATCAGTGTTAAAAGCATATGATATGAATGAGGTCTCCAGCATGGCACTGGCTGCAATAAATTATCAAGTGTACGTTCTGTTTTCTGAAATGGGCTCAATTTATCATTTTATTGAAAAGGTTCCATTATGCTAATGTCTTATAAAATCACTTTCTGCTGTTGCTAGAAGGTGAAGAGGGGATATCAATTTTTATATATATAACTTGGAAGTATTGCAGCAGAGAATTGTCAAGGGTTAATAACCCTAACAGAAGATAAAATACACATAAGAGCAAACTTCCAAGGACTTTGTAATGACAAATTTTCATAACCCTACAGAAAGCAGAATAGTTTTCTTAAGCTTAACTCTCCTAAAAGAAACATTGATGGAATTAGCAATAGTTAATTGCAAGGCTGAAAACTCTTCCTCTCTTCCCCAATTAACCCTTGAATTGACACTGGAGACTGTTGTTTGCAATGCAGGTCAGATTAGAAAATACCATTATCATCCCTGTCAACTTGCCCAGATAACAGAAATGAAGGCTAATCAGACGCGGCTCTTGGGTGATTATTCGAAAAGGGGAATACCCTTCTCTAAATAAAACTTTGTATAGTAAGAACATTTTTCTTCTTTGGAAGTATTGTATACAAAATAGGAAAGTATTAGAAAAAGAGAACTAGATTAAGATAGACAATTGGTTTGATCTCACATTGTAGCAACTCTATAGTTTTGTGATTTGTATCCAAAAAAACACTCTTTTGCTGTGCATCAAAAAAATAGAGTACTGTTTCAGAAACATTATCCTATTTTTAGCAGGAAGCATTTTCTTAGGGGCATGCCTTCCCTACCTCCAAACATACTCATAGAACATAATCCAAGAAAGTACAGCATCAAGAGGGATAATKTAATATATGCTGACATTAACAAGCTGCCCAGGGAAGGGGTTTAGTCACCATTCCTGGAGGTATTTAAAATTCAGTTGTGGCAGTTAGGGACACAGTTTAGTGGWGGACTTGGTAGTGCTGTGTTAACCTTTGGAGTCAGTGACCTTAAGGTCTCTTCCAAACTGAACAATTCCATGATTCTATGAATGCAAAACATTTTAGCAGGAGAGGAGGAGCCAGAGCACAATGGGCAGGACCTAACCACCAGCACAGAAAGAGTTGTCAGTGCAAAAATTTTGTAWAGATTTGTAAAGATTTGTTTTGAACTTTAAAACAGAATTGCACATACAGTAAATTTACACAGTGCATAACAAAGACAATTGCAGTCTTGCTTCCCAGAAGCTATTCGCCAAAATCAGAACTAGTATATTAATTCTGAGTTGGTAATTTATTCTGCATTTCTAAAAAMGGTAAATTAATACCTTCCCTTTTCTTGGTGTAGATTGATCCTCAAATTAGTATTGCATTTAATATTTAAAAGTTTGTAAAATAATGTATTATAAAAAATCTGAATCAAATATAGACTAAATCACAAAGTGCTGCATGATGAATTTTCATTTAAATTAAAAGTAGTTTAATCCTAACACAAAAGTAAACTGCCAGGACACCAAATCCAAAAATAAATAGCAACCTAACTAGTTACTTGAATATATCTACTGAAAGAATCCATTAGTTGCATATTAAGTAATTTACTACTTTCTCTTGTACAGCAATATGAATCTTATTCAAATGAATGTCTGTGAAAAAGGACTATCATAAGAATCTTGTAACCACCAGGAAGGAAATGCTGAATTACTATWTCAAGAAATTTAAGAAAGGTCAGTGTAAGCATTCTGGTAATTTGTTTAAAAAAAAAAAAAAATTGATAACTCTGGGAAACAAGACTTGATTACTAAATGTAAATTGAACAGAATACTGATTTTTCCTTCTCCAAACTACATGGACCTAAGGTATATTTAATTAATTAATTTATGCTATAATTAATCCACAAGTGATTTGTACAGAAGCCGAAGGAAAAAGAATCTTTATATTGATTAATTTATTTTGGAAAAATGCAGTTAAATGACACAAGAGGAATTTTAGAAATCTTTTTTTCTCTCTTCTATGGGAATAGTAAATTCTTAGATATTTGGATTTGTAACTCAGAAAAGCAATATTAGGTCATGGGAAAATAAGTTCCTTGTTGTCTCAGTTCTGTCTGGTGCAGTTGCTGAACATGTACAGAGCTTCATGTTTCTGAGTGACAATAAAAATGTTCTTTCCATACTGGAAGCCATTTGAATGGCTAAGTGCCCACATTTCAATGGAATTCTCAAAAAGGGATAAGAAATAGCTGCAGTTRTTCTCAGCTTGGTAATGGGTAGGGGTACTCAGCCTAACACCACAGATATACACCATAACACTGCCCAACTTGGGTCTATTATTCTCTTATATAGGAGATTATAAACCTTATAAAACCAGGAAGTAATTTTACAACACTTCATGTGTTTAGACTATTCATTTACTTCAAACAGATTTGACACCAAAGTTTTTATTCATGTAGGCTTTTTTAGTAAAAGCATTATAATGAAATGTAATATCAATTAAAGAGCACAGGAATTATTAACACAATCATCAGAATACTATTCAAAACCTATTTGTATAGTGTCAGCAATTTCCCTGGTTAAATAGATATGAGTTTTTTTATCCATCAGGGATTCTCTCAGAAGCATGCACAGTTCTGACTCAAACCCTAAATTGTGCCTTTCCCTTCGAATGTTTTTTATTGTCTCTTTCATGTAGCAGACTCTTATATAGAATGGGAACCAGTTTATCACTTCATGCATCGCTGACAATACTGAGGTTTTGGTAATGACAATTTCATCTGCCTTTTCTGATATTTGTGTTATTTGGAAAGACAAGAAGTTCTAACATATATTACTGCTACACAATAAAGTTTATGGCAAAATTGATTTCTAGAATAGCCTTTCTCTTTTTTTTAATTTTTTTATTTTTAACTCAGACTATTCCTTAAGTCGGTGTATTAAGTGACTACAAATTAACTCACCCAAAACCGATAATGAAAAGAGTCCCCCATATTGAACAAATGGGGTAAAGCTGGATAGACAAAAGGAAAAGCATTCATAGTGAGAATCAAAGCAAGGAAAGAAGTTAACAGACTTTAAACAGTAATTATTATTGACATCCTTCCACAAAGAACTATCAGTCATTAGGGTGGCTCTTCTTATTTTCCTTCTTATGATAAAAAGCCTTTATAAYTTAATCACAGACAAAACTAGTTCACATATACTGCCAATACATTTTTTCCCCAGTTTTCATTCTGACATGAGAATATTTGCTGCAATAGAAAATACATCTTTGTGWACAAACATGTCACATGAGAAATTTTTAAAGTCCTTAAACATGTATAAACTACTCTGTAAAGTCAAACACAGCTATTAAAGCCCTGTACATACAACGTACGGTTGTCAAAAAGAAAATATATGTGGTAATGCTTAAAAGCTCCCACTTTTGCATTGCTTCTGAGAGTATGCCCAGACTGAAGCCTGTCCCCAGTTTATCAGATTTAAATCAGCATGCGGCCCTCTTATCTCATTACTCATTCAGATTGGGAGATGTGGATCATTAAGCTGGGTACTAATTTGCTCCTAAACTGCACTCATTCATCATTAGTTGGCAGTGAGAGGGTGACCAAGTCAGTCGTGGAATACTGTGACCCTCCCATGGATTGTATATTTTCTGCATCAACTACTTAATAAATTCACTAGAAGTTATTTTAACAGTTTTAGTAGCCATGCTGTTAAGCATGGTGATTTCTGTGGTCAGGTTAATCACAGAGGTATCTCTGTCACATTCACAATTTATCTTCTGTACTCTGGATATACATGTTTGGTATTATCTTCTGTATTGTGCAAAAAGGGTATTTGTGTACTGTTCTTTACAAAAAGCCATCTTTGAGGGATTGTTATGATAAATCTTGACAGAGCTGGGTATTGCACAAAATGATGTATCTTCACTGGAGCAACACAGTTATCAGTAAAGGTTAGACTGTGAGGAGGGGGCTTCTCTGAGAAGACTCATTCATTGCTAAGAGATTCTCATATTTGCATCTGACTTGAGCTTCTCTGTCATGAACAATTTTAAATATTATGGCAGAATCTCATTTTGCATTAACTTGTGCCTCAAATTTTTTTTTCACAATGAAGATATTCTCAGTAGTCACTTGGAGGATGAATAACTATCTATGTCCATAGTATGAATCATCACAATCATGTGTTGTGACAACAAAGCTTTAATAAAGCTTAAATGTATTGTAAATATTTTTTTAATAAAATGTATGGATATGAAAAAATCACAACAGATTGGGAATTAAACACATTTGYAACACATAAGCTTCCCAACATTCTAGTTAAGGAAACTTCCATAATTTTAATTTTTCAGGGACTATTTTTGCCTTCTCAGACCTCTGGTGGTTTTGCCATTTTATATTATTTGTAAAAAGTATAAAACAAGTTGGAGACAGGAACAATACAAGAAATAACTCCTTTATCCACAAAACAAAATTATTTGGCTAGAAAACACATCAGATGCTTATCACTTCTTAATATTGCTGTATTTTTTGTTTAATAAATTAAATAAACCATATATTTTGGGGGCTTTTTCCCTGTGGTATGGAACTAGAACTGTTCACTCTAAGAAAGAAGAAGAYACATGTTTAGAAACATATTTTGAAATGCACTAAGCCACTGAATTACCTGATTGTTCAGAAGGAAGTGAAACACTGTTTTTTCCAGGATCCAGAATAACTGCCAACCCTGCAGAGACGGATGGGAGGACGCTGGTGCTCAGATCTACGCGAGTTAGACTTTCAGGTTGTCTTGTGAAGGCTTTTAGAACACCTCCAGCACAGTTATCTTCTGTCTTCTTGTCCAGACTGCTCTTCTGTGGACTCTGGACAATATGAATAATGCTCTGCTGGGCCAGGTCACAGTTCTGCAACACAAAACCAAAATCCCAAAAAATAGTTACTTGTGACATAATGGACAAAATCCCTCTATCTTCAATTTGTTATTGTGTCATGGTCTCCAAGCCATTTTGTGGCGAATTTCAGTGTGCAGTAATGGAGTTTAAAGCAAAGTGACAAGTGTAAATTGCTGGAATTAGGATTACTTGCACTGCCAAAGGGGTCACAACATTTACAAGTTCAAAACATTTAACAAAGAAATGGTGGACCCAAGCCAACAGCTCTAAGTCTGGATATTGGCACAAAGTAAAAAAACTCCAGAGGAAGTGCTATTAAATCAAGCGCTAGGAATATTCAAAGAGGCACTTGCACAGATAATGCTGAAATACTCTTCATCCAGCAATTAGGGTCAAACTCGATGATTACGGGGACTTCATGAACAAGCTAATCCAAAATATTTTTGTAAGAGAAACAGGAAAGATGATGCTACTGATGAAGACTGATACTTAATTCTTCTCCGTAATGTAATTTTCAGTCTGAATCTGGTTTTAGACGTAAACRCAGTAGGAGTTTCCCATTCTTTCCAAAACTGACATTTAACTGTTGACTTTATATTTAGAGAAAGCCTGTGRAAGATCTCATGACTATTGTGATCTTTCCTGATGAAACAAAAGAACTGCTAGCCATTTTAGCCCAAAATGAGACCATTTTATGGCCTTACATATACAGAAACTTTTCTTCTTTTTCAGTCCTTATCAGAAGTGATTCTTAGAGMATCTTTCCAGGTCTTGTGTCTTAGAAAATAGCAGGGTGAATAAATATCTTATAAATGGTTCATCCATGATAAATCAGGATGTCTTTCATAACTTGTTCAGCATTTTCACAATATGGAACAGATGAGCAAAATATTACTTTAGAACTAGAAATTATTAAGATTTTAGAAGATCTATCATTAATGAAGGGCTTTCAAGAAAGACTTGTATTGATCTTTCCACAACACACCTTGCAAGGAAAATTGTTCTTTATTAGATGATATCTTCTGAAGACCCACACCTAATTTTAGTGTCATGAGTGAGCCACACACAAACATCAGTCTACACAGAAAGTAGTGTGTCAAGAAATTAATTTTCTAATTCTCTGCAGCATCATTAGGTTGGCCACCTTTRCCATGAAATGTCAAGACACTGTTGAATCCATTTGGGAGAAACATAAAGAGTTCAGAAGCATTTGTCTCTGTATCCATACAATATTAAAAATTTATGTTTTGCATATGTGAATTATATGCTAATTACACATTACTATATGCACTTTTAATTGCAAAAGATTCCTTTACAGGTATTTTAGTGCTCTTTTACCCCCRTTCTCCCATGCTCTCTTCTACCACTTTTTTTATTCTTGTCTCTTTTCTGTTGAGTCGTTTTCCTTCATTCTCTTACATTATTTCTCAGTATTTCTCCCTCCTCASTTTCTTTCTTATGCAATGCAATTTAAAGGACAAAAATCTGACTTTTGTTTTGCTTTACCTGAATTTTTAATAACACACTCTCTCCTTAGTGAAGCAGTAATCAGCCAGCAGAGATTTGTCAGAGCAAGGACACTGCAGTCTTAATATTCAATCAAAGCAGTTATTAGATTTCAACCTTAGAACATTACATTGACATTAAAGGTCTCCTTTTCTTTTTGGTACAACTTGTTGCCCCTCGCATTTTAACAAGATCCATTGAAACAGCTCAATAATTTCATTCATTAACACAATATCCAAAACATGTTGGTCACTCTACAACTTCTCCAACTAAGAGTACTGCATAATTTTTTAAAATAATCTAAAATAATTTAATAATGGAGTTTATAACTAGGCAAATGAGGAGCTCAGAAGTGATTTGCTCAGTTACAGTGAGAGTTTAAAAACAGAAATAGGTACATATGTAAAAAAACCACAACTTTGAAAATCCCTAATAAACTGCCAGTCACACCCTGTTTTAATGATCACCTCTTCTGGCAGTTTCACTTGCTCAAGCAGACCCTGCTCTGCCTTTCATCTTTTTGCTCACCATCTACTGTCCTTCTCGGTTGGTTGTTTGGCTGTTTTTAAAGTTTTCATCAGTTCCTGATTCAGTTTGCTGCCTGATGCTGTGGTACAATCACACTGAGAGAATAGTGCATATGAGAGGATAAAAGGGATGGAAAGGGCTGCTTAAACAAAACAAAATTTCCCTGCACCACCACCAACTTTCTCAACCACTCTTTTTTGAGATTGACTGCCATACACATTTAGATGCCTGGTTTTAAAACTATAGGCTCTTTTCCAGTTCCTTTTGCAAGCTGGAAGGTATGTGGTTAGCTTAGAAACAAAGGGCTGGAAAAAAAGGACTTCATTTTACCTATTAGGCTGGAAAAAAAGAACTTCATTTTACCTATTATTCTCTCTTCAACATTTCAAGAAATATATACTTTAGAAAAATATGTAAAATTTGCACTTTGGGAAATTATACAGATTGCATCAGTTGTTTAGAGCATGGTGCTAATAATGTCAAGGTTGTCAGTTTGATCTCTGCATGGGCTATTCACTTCAGAGCTGGCCTCAATGATCTTTGTGGGGCTCCTCCGACTCAGAATATTCTGTGATTCTGMATATAACCACAGCTATAGTGTACTTCTGTATTTCACTTCAAAAATTTTCATTTTAGAAGGACAGCTGAACAAGTTGTATCTTGGCTTTCTCCTATCTCTTCATCTGAAACAAAAACAAACTTTGAAAGATTGAACAACACTACTGATGATGACAGTGTAGATAATAGTCTCAGGAAAGCCTAATTAGCAGATCTCAGGATAATTTTCCAAAAAGAGAAGAGAGAAGAAAGAAACAACATCCTTTGATTTGTATCCGGTGTAAATTTGATATGGAAGTCACTGAGCAATAATAAACATGGAATCCCAAATCATCAGTTTTGTAATATTTTTCTGACTACATTTGAATTGAATTTGGCTTGTGTTTAAAGGAGGAAAGTAACTCTCAACCTTTGCAAAAAAAAATTATAAAACAGTACAAGAAGAAAATAAAAAATGGTTGTAATCTTATGTTAATTTTGGAGAGATCTGGATAGGAATATCACCAAGCACTTCCCAGAACTTGGGTGATTTATGCTTTATAGAAGACTACATTCATGAACAACAGATGGGCTAAGTCTGCAGCTTTTTCTTTGAGAAAAGAGGTAGAATTCTAACTATTGTTGTGACTGTTTAGGTTTTGCCTTAGGTATTGTAAGATACAATTGTTTATGTCAATGTCACTTTCATTTTCTTCACGTATTTGTTTCACGCCCCAGGAAACATTCTTTTGAGAATATCTATTATTAATGATTCTAGAGATATTGTCTTGTCTTATCTGTTGATCCAAATTAATGCCTGTGTTCCATATTCCAATGGGAAATACTGCAAGTGTATATAAAGTAGATTATGAAGTATCTTCTTTCAGTAGAGCAAAGGCAACTGAGAGGATCCGAAAATTATGAAACCCAGTAATAAGGACTGGTTCTTTAGAGAAAATGGTTTTTGGTCAACTGGGGAAAATGAATTAATAAAAGAGGAAATTAAAATTAAGACTTTTTTTCCAAATCAGGCCTTTTGCCTGTTTTTTCCTTTCTTTTTTTTTTTCCTGAATTCTCAAGTTGAATTTCACAAACCTGAATCAGCGTATCCTGAGTGAACAACATAATTTCCTTTGGCGTTAATAGCTGTGGGCTAACTAGAGGGTCAGCTGAGAAGACTGAAATAAATGATGAAGATGGAAAATAATGACTGTATTTAAGTAACTCTGAAATCCCCTTGTTAGGCTCTGGGGAGACGTCACTGCAGCCTTTCAGTACTTAAAGGAGAAAAGAAAAAAAAGAGGGACTTTTAACATGGGCTGATAGTGACAGGACAAGAGGGAACATTTTAAACTAAAAGATCACACATCAGGAAGGAATTCTTTACTGATAGGGTGGTGAGGCACTGCCACAGGCTACCCAGAAAAGTTATGGATGCCCCATCCCTGGAAGTGTTCAAGGCCAGGCTGGCAGCAGTCACCTGATCTAGGTGGGTGGTATTCCTGTCAATTGTGAGGTGGTGGGAACTAGATAACCTTTATTGTCCTTTCCAACACAAACCATTCTGTGATTCTGACAGATTTCTGTTTRATATCTTCTTGACAACACATTTTGATAGTAATATCAATACTGAAAGAAGTGCTCTCAATTTAAAAAATATAAAGTCCACTAGAGAAGTAATATTTTTTGAAGAGAAATATACTTTATTTTGAAATGTTTCATTTAAAGAAACACTAGAGCAGAAAATAGTTTGAATCTGAAACTTTGTATGTGAATATAAAAAAGTTTGTGGTGTTTTGTCTTGAAAAGGAATTTGAAAATTCTCCATTTCTAGCTAACCATGGGTTGGGAGTTTTAAGGTGTTTGGGTATTTTTYTAATTGCGTATGAATCACAAAAATAAATTCTTCACACTCCACTACCTATGATTCAGTTTGAATTTACAACTTTTATGTTACCTGGATATTCACACCTTTACCCATGAATCCCTGGGGCCTATTGCAGATACAATAACAGTGGAATTGTCCAACCCTCACCTATTTAGATCCAGCAGATAATAGACTGTCTGATGCCATTCCCTAAGGGATTCACATAAGGCCAATGCTCAAGAAAAGGTATTTTCTAGGAATGATCAACAAGAACCTAAGGGCTGTCTTTCCAGTTAGTTTTTTTCTTAACTGTGCTGTATTTCAGCATTATACAGAAAAATAAGGGGAACACTTTTGTTTCATTAATCAGCAGAATTAATTAAATAATAAAACTGTTTTACAGAATAGAACAAGATGCATAGAACAATACATCTCTTCAAACCAACAGGACCCATGTAAAAGTGTAGATGACACATCCATTTATTGGGAAAATATTTTTTCATTGATAAATAGAGACACATTAAAGATAACCTTCTAAACAGAAAAAATAAGCATATGAAGTACCCAGAAGAGA